TCCCTCGGCAGGCCGCCGCTGTGACACCGTGGTGGATGGCTGTAAAGGCAAACCCTGTAGGAACGGGGGAACCTGCGCTGTTGCCAGCAACACTGGCCGTGGCTTCATCTGCAAATGCCCCCCGGTAGGTACCTGCTCCCCTCCAGCTCCCAGCGTGGGATGTTGCACGGGCCCTGCAAGTCAGCCCCTCGCACAGCGGCGCAGCGAAGGGGCCAGTTTAGCCCCTGTGGCTTCCCCAGCTGGGGTAACCAGGGTGATCGTGGGGGGACGATGCATTGCTGTGGGTGCTGACTGGAGGGAGGTGCGTCTGTATGTCCCTCCTCGCTTGCAAGGAGACCGGGTTAGGGTCAGGGAGAAGGAGGCGGCTCAGCCCTGCAGGAGCCACGCGCAGCTTGGTAGGACAGACTCTTCCATGGTTGACCGTTGTTTGCACCAGGTAAAGGTGGAGCAGGCAGCTATGCAAAAGAGCTCCCTTCGTTTGGAGTGGGATGCTCTGACAGGCGGGATGCTCTACGTTCTTGATGATTGTTGCCCATCACTAGTTTCAGAGGACGCACCAGAGCCGTGCCCTGATGCACTGGGTTTGTGCCAAGTTTCTCAGCGTGTTAGGCTGCTCGTAGGACAGCGTCAGTGATTCTGACTCCCTCCTTGCTGTCACCTCCCCAGGGATTCGTGGGTGCCACCTGCGAGAACGACTCCCGCACCTGTGGGAACCTGCACTGCCTGAACGGTGGCACTTGCATCTCCATCCACAAGAGCTCCAAGTGCATGTGCGCGCCGGCCTTCACGGGTCCCGAGTGCCAGTACCCGGCCAGCAGCCCCTGCACCTCCAACCCCTGCTACAACAGGGGCACCTGCGAGTTCTTCGGCGATGCCTCCCCCTACTACCGGTGCAACTGCCCTGCCAACTTCAACGGCCTCAACTGCCACATCCTCGACTTCGATTTCCAGGGTGGCATCGGGCAGGATATCATCCCACCCAAAATTGAGGAGAAGTGCGAGATTGCCGTTTGCGCGGGCTACGCCGGCAACAAGATCTGCGATGGGAAATGCAACAACCATGCCTGCGGCTGGGACGGGGGTGACTGCTCCCTCAATTTCAACGACCCCTGGAAGAACTGCTCCCAGTCTCTGCAGTGCTGGAAGTACTTCAACGACGGCAAGTGCGACGCTCAGTGCAACAACGCTGGCTGCCTGTACGATGGATTTGACTGCCAGAAATACGAAGGGCAGTGCAAGTAAGTGGCTCGCTCATTGACCCTCTTAAAGCCATGACCTCTGGGCTCATCATCTGGGGGTATTTTCTGGTTGCATCTGCTAAAGCTCCTCAGCGCAGACCTGTTGTTCGCTCCCTACGTTCTGTTCTGCTGCCTGTGGGGCTGCAACTCAAACAACCACACTTCTCTGTGATCTTACCGAGTTCATGTCCACTTGGAAGCTCTCTGGGTTTGGCTCATTCCAGATGGCTTCCCTGTCCTTGCCTGTAACACGCCAGACAAGTGAATTCCCCAGCTCGCAGTAGTAACACAGTGAGTTTCAGTGTAGGGAGACCCCAGATGGAAGAGCTGCCAGAAAACAGGATGATGTTAACATCCAGGCATTTACCAAACATTGTCTTTGGCAACAGCAGGAACTTAATCCCAGATTCATGGACAAACTCTGGTCTGAGTAACTGTTCTGTGTCCCGCTGTCTTCTCTGAGTCACAGTAATTTATCCCTGTTTTCTGGCATCTGAATTGCAACTTATAATTTAACAGCTGCTGTCTTTCACCCCCAGTGGTGACTGCTTCACGGTGCTGCGTGAAACGATTGCCTTCTGTGTAAACTGGTTGAGTGTCCGTCAGGATGAGGCATATTTATACGAAAGAGAGGTCCTTGTGGACCACTGCTTGTTTTCTCAGCAGACAGTAATATGCGCAGTGCTCGGTCTAATTCGTTCTTCTGCCTTTCTTGTTCTTCTGCCCAGCCCTCTGTACGATCAGTACTGCAAAGATCACTTCTCAGATGGTCACTGTGACCAGGGCTGCAATAATTTTGAGTGCGAGTGGGATGGTCTGGACTGTGCAAACAACATGCCGGAGAAGCTGGCAGATGGCACGCTGGTGGTGGTGGTCCTCATCACTCCCGAGAACCTGAAGAACAACTCTTTCAACTTCCTGCGGGAGCTGAGCCGCGTGCTGCACACCAACGTGGTCTTCAAGAAGAATGCCAAGGGAGAGTACATGATCTTTCCGTACTACGGCAATGAGGAGGAGCTGAAAAAGCATTACATCAAGAGATCAACAGAGGACTGGTCAGACATGTCTAGTGCTGTCATCAACAAAGTGAAGAGCAGCCTCTACTCCAGGGCTGGCAGAAGGCAGAGGAGAGAGCTCGATCAGATGGACATCAGAGGGTAAGGGGGACCAGTGCGTTCCTTTTGCACCGAGCTGCGTTTGTTTTCTGCGTCGATAATAGTAACACGCTATAAGGGGAAGGATGTAGGCCAGAGAATTGTATTGAGACGTTGCTTTCAGTGTGAATAGAAACCGGATTTTGCTCTCGTGTGGGAAAAGCGAGTGATCGCTCAGGAATCCCTGATACAATGCTGCGCCGACTCTCACGATTGAAGGAGTCCTGTGTATTGTCGGGAGCCGGGGCTGGGCTGGGTGGGAGCTGGAAGCAGAGGTTGGCCTGACCGACTGTCTGACTTCAGGAAGTCATTAAGTTAAGCCTCAGTTTCTCCCTGGGAAATGCTTTCTAGAGCTTTGTTGTAAAACTCAATTACTGCAGACTGTGTTTGGAGATCTTTGGTATAAACATACAGATCTAACCATCTCCCTCTCTGTGGGCTCAATCAAAAGCCACCGACAGCAAAGGAGCTAGAGCAGCGAAAGTGATGGGAAAAGATCTGCAGGCTCCCAAACAGCGTTGTTTAAGATAGCAGAGTGCCTGCGTAATTCTAAAAATTGTGAAGCAGAGACTCCCTTCCATTCCTTTAGATAAGGAGTTAGATTTCGTGGTGCTCACTGAGACAAATCCAGTAGACCAGGAGAGTGAGCTGCAGGGCTTGGGCCACGGGGGAGCGAGGAGATGGGTTCCCACCTTCTGATTCCCACTGATGGGGGTTAAGGCAGGAAGGGAGACAGGGCTCACCTGGCTTCTCAGTGTGGCCATCGCTCCATGCTCCTCACCGACTCCTCTCTCGCACAGATCCATCGTCTACTTGGAAATTGATAACCGCCAGTGCATCCAGTCCTCTTCCCAGTGCTTCCAGAGTGCAACCGATGTGGCGGCGTTCCTGGGCGCCTTGGCCTCCCTTGGCAACCTGAACATACCCTACAAAATAGAAGCCGTTAAAAGTAAGTATGGCTGGGCGGCTGGGGGGGGGAGGTTTCCAGCCTCATCCATGTTTAGTTATCTCTCAGCTGGCTGCATCTGAGCACAGTCTGGTTTTAATAACCTTGCATCTTTTTTTTTTTTTCCCCTTTGTCTGTTCTTAAAAAAATTGCAAAACCAGTTTACTATTTTTTGCTCATTCCAGGTTTATTTCAAAACCATTATCACTATAAAAGTTATAAGGGGAAAAAAAAAAGAGAAAATAAAAAGAAAGCTCAACCAGCTCCAATCAATCAGTGACATGGAAGGAGTTGAAGTTTGTATCTTGAAAATCCCCCCTAAATCCTTTTGTCTTAACAGCTCAATGCAAGCGCAATGATTTGAAGTTTGCTAATCCTTTTCCTTAAAGGAGAAAAAAGTGAAGCTGTCTCCTGATGCAGGCTGGCTTGTGCAGCAGAGAGTTTGCCGATAGTTTGCAATTCTGATTAATAGCGTGTAAAATGACCTTATTTTGGGGGGGCTGATTTAGATCAGCCTTAGGTACCTCTATTAACTAATTTTCCTTCATTTCCACTCTGTCACTGGTTTGCTATGCAGCTTAATGTCTCAGCGTCTCTTCGTGCCCCACTGTTCTGTAGGTGAAACAGCTGAGCCGGCGAAGAACTCCCAGCTGTATCCTATGTACGTGGTGGTGGCTGCGCTGGTCTTGCTTGCTTTCATTGGAGTGGGAGTACTGGTGTCTCGTAAGCGGCGCAGGGAGCATGGGCAGCTTTGGTTCCCAGAAGGCTTCAAAGTGACAGAGTCGAGCAAGAAGAAGCGACGAGAACCGCTTGGGGAGGATTCTGTTGGACTGAAGTGAGTAATTTGCTTGCTAACCCGTTAAACGCAGTGCAGCAGGGCTGCTCGGGGCTCTGCTGAAAGAGCCCATCGGAGTTTTCTTCTCTAGTGCATCATACTGGCATCGCGGGGAGAAGAAAAAATCAGGTTTCTTAAAGATCTGCATGGGGAAAATAGTGTTTCCATCTGGAGGAGGTTTTTAACTGCTCTGTGGTCCATTTGCACTTGGTAAAAAATGAAAGGCAACCTGAGGGGGACCTGCTGGAAATTGCCTTGTTGATTCTTCTTTCAGTTTGTGCACACAGTCCATCACACTCTAGTTCCTGCAGAGGAGCTAATTTTTTGTGTGGTTTTTCTTTTTTCAAAGACCCCTCAAAAATGCTTCTGACGGCACGCTGATGGATGACAACCAAAATGAGTGGGGTGATGAGGAGACCTTGGACACCAAGAAGTTCAGGGTAAGCTCACTGCCCCGTTCCGTTGCTGTGCAGCACGTAGTCACTGGCGGGGTTTTGTCGTGGAAGGAGCAGAGCGCTGCGGGAAGCAGCAGAGCGGAGGGACCCCCGGGGGCCCGGTCTGCGCTGCGCATCGCTGCCGCCGGCTCCTTCGCGAACCTGCGTGCGACAGTCGCACCTTTGGGACTTGCAGAGCTTCCCACGCTAGAGCTCAGCCCCCTCCTCCCGCCCTGCCTCGTGCGCTTTGCTCGGTGCTCATTTCCCGCTGTCGTTCCCAGTTCGAGGAGCAGGCGATGCTGCCCGACACGGACGATCAGACGGATCACCGGCAGTGGACCCAGCAGCACCTGGATGCCGCTGACCTGCGCATATCCTCCATGGCGCCTACTCCGCCGCAGGGGGAAATCGATGCGGACTGCATGGATGTCAACGTCAGAGGGCCCGGTAAGGTGGACTCCTTTCACCTCTGTGGTGCTTGTCAGCTCATCTGAAATCCTCCCTTACCCCTTGCAGGTGAGCGGTCCCAGACAGCCCTACCCATCTCCATTTCTAGCAGGGAGTTGCTGCTAGCCGTTCTGCATGGTTGTGTGTGATTTAGAGATAGATCCTGTCACGTTTTGCTGTCCGTGAGATCTCTTTTGTTTAATCACTGAGATGGAAATTAGAGAATACAGAAGAAGTACCTGTTAAATCATCCAGCTTATCTCTCTGCCCCTCCTAGATTCCTCTCCTCCCACCAATCTGCACATTTCACAATCTTCTTTTCAGGTTTTTAACTACACTAGTAGCGAATAGGCTCTTAAATTGTTACAAGCATTTGGTCCTCCCCACATCTGCAAAGTTGTCCTCTGAAATAATAAAAATATTGAAGGCTGCTCTGTACCATACTCAAGTTTGCTTTGAGCAGCCTTCGTTATAAATTGCACCTTACATGCAGACAAAATAGGAAAAGCAGTGAGTGGTGAGATACCACTAAGGAATTTCAGATCCATATCAGAGGAAGGATATTCGTGTTTGATGTTTAGAACCAGTCAGGAACTCAGTCTTGATGCACCCACGAGGATAAGCATCTATCGCAGACAGAGCGTGTTGCTGAGCCGCCTGCATTACAGAAGGGTAAAAAGCCTTTTTTCACCGAGTTCCCCATGGCTTTTCAGATGGCTTCACCCCCCTCATGATCGCCTCGTGCAGCGGAGGAGGGCTGGAGACCGGCAACAGCGAAGAGGAAGACGATGCTCCCGCCGTCATTTCGGATTTCATTTACCAAGGCGCCAGCTTGCACAACCAGACTGACCGCACCGGCGAGACGGCTCTGCACCTGGCTGCCAGGTACTCCCGCTCCGACGCTGCCAAGCGCCTGCTGGAAGCTAGCGCCGATGCCAACATCCAGGACAACATGGGCAGGACACCCCTCCACGCCGCCGTCTCTGCCGATGCCCAGGGAGTCTTCCAGGTAAGTCATCCTTTCGCCGCCCGTCTCGGGGCTTTCTGGGGAAAGCGCTGGTGCTCCGCGTTGAGTCGGTCACACGGCTGAGCTGAGCGCGGGGTCTCCAGCTCACCCTGGCAAGGTGTGGCGTGAACGTCTCGAAAACCAAAGCCCCTGTTGTCTCAGGGCAGGGCACAGCGAAGCAGCAAGCCCGTAGCTGTCCTCGGGTGTGCACCGCGGACTGGGAGCGGGGACTGGAGGGACCAGCCTCTGGAAAGGGGGTTGCGGGTCCTGAGACCTGGTACTGGGAGCGTCTGCTCTCTGTCCCTCCTAACGTCTGCGTTTCCTGCGCTTTGGCCCTTGTTGTGGCAGATCCTGATTAGGAACAGGGCAACCGATCTCGACGCCCGAATGCACGACGGGACCACTCCTCTGATCCTGGCCGCTCGCTTGGCTGTGGAGGGCATGCTGGACGATCTCATCAACTGCCACGCAGACGTCAATGCCGTGGATGATCTAGGTACTGCAGGCAGCTGAAGCACGGGCTGCCTCGGAGGGGGAAGGAACGGGCTGCTTGCTGCTACTCTTACCACTCACTGACACATGCTGTATTTTGTGGTCTTCCTCTGCAGGCAAGTCAGCACTGCACTGGGCAGCGGCTGTGAATAACGTTGAAGCCGCAGTGGTGCTCCTGAAGAATGGGGCCAATAAGGATATGCAGAACAATAAGGTAGGGGTCTCCTGGGCTGACGTAGGCAAGGGAAGAACCATCTCTGGGGAGTCTGTTAGAGGGTAATTTTTGCCTCAAATACAACACTGTCTGGCACTGAGACTCTGATTTGATTGTTCTGCTGGGAATGAAGCTGTTGGATTTAGCTGAAAGAAGCACTGTGGGATTTGGTCCTACGGGTGATGCTGAGGGGCCGTGCAGTGCTTGGGGAACAGTGTGGTACGGTGTTTGTGTGGCCATCTCCTCGCACGTTCTGGGTCGCTCATGGGGTTCCTGGTTTGATATCAGCGTAAGGGCATGGCTTAGCAGGGTAGGAAAAAGCAGCAGCAAAATCTCACCAGAGGAGAGACGATTACTGTCTCTGCCACGCGGCTGATGGTGTTGGGCATGGAGCTCAGGACACTGTTAGCCAGGAGGATCTGTGAACTTAAACTTAACCATCTTTGCTGGGTTTCCAGGAGGAGACCCCACTGTTCCTCGCAGCCAGAGAAGGGAGCTACGAAACCGCCAAGGTCCTGCTGGACCATTATGCCAACCGCGATATCACGGACCACATGGACCGGCTCCCACGGGACATCGCCCAGGAGCGCATGCACCATGACATCGTGAGGCTGCTGGATGAGTACAACCTGGTGCGGAGCCCACCGCTGCACAACGGCCCGCTGGGGGCACCCACCCTGTCCCCACCGCTGTGCTCTCCCAGCAGCTACATTGGCAACCTGAAACCTGCCGTCCAGGGCAAGAAGGCCAGGAAGCCGAGTACCAAGGGCCTGAGCTGCAACGGCAAGGATGCCAAAGACCTCAAAGCCCGGAGGAAAAAATCACAAGATGGGAAAGGATGTCTGCTTGACAACTCCAGTGTGTTGTCTCCGGTGGACTCCCTGGAGTCGCCCCATGGGTACCTGTCGGATGTTGCCTCTCCTCCGCTGATGACCTCTCCGTTTCAGCAGTCCCCTTCCGTGCCTCTGAATCACCTGCCAGGCATGCCTGATGCCCACATGAGCATCAACCACCTCAACATGGCGGGGAAGCAGGATATGGCCATGGGAAACTCCAGCAGGATGGCCTTCGATGCGGTGCCGCCGCGCCTCTCCCACCTCCCCGTCTCCAGCCCCAGCACAGCGATGAGCAACGCCCCGCTGAATTTCTCTGTCGGCGGCGCGGCCGCTCTGAACGGGCAGTGTGACTGGCTCAGCCGGCTGCAGAACGGCATGGTCCAGACCCAGTACAACCCCATGAGAGGCAACATGCAACCAGGGGCGCATCAGCAGCCGCAAAACCTCCAGCACGGCATGATGACCTCCCTGCCCGCCCCCCCCCCCCACACCACCCGCCGCAGCAGCATCACAACCCCAGCTCCAACGCGAGCGGCCACATCGGCCAAAATTTCCTTGGTACGGAGCTGAGCCAGCCTGACATGCAGCCGGTGAGCAGCAGTACCATGGCGGTCCACACGATCCTGCCTCAGGATTCCCAGATGCTGCCCACGTCTCTGCCATCCTCCCTCGCCCAGCCCATGACCACCACGCAGTTTCTAACTCCACCTTCCCAGCACAGTTATTCCTCCCCCTTGGACAACACCCCCAGCCACCAGCTCCAGGTGCCGGACCACCCTTTCCTAACGCCGTCGCCGGAGTCACCGGACCAGTGGTCCAGCTCGTCTCCTCACTCCAACGTGTCCGACTGGTCCGAGGGCATCTCCAGCCCTCCGACGAGTATGCAGTCACAGATGGGACACATCCCCGAAGCCTTCAAGTGAAAGACGGTGTTTCAGAGACGCTGGCGCTCAGTGGGAGTTAGAAGCTCGAGGGAGATCTTTTTTAAAAGGACATTGGATGCTTTTATTAAAGGATCCTTTTTAAATATGTTTTTATAAAAAAAGTAAAAAGACAAATTAATTCCTTTTTTTTTTAGTATTTATTTATGTACTTTTTATTTTACATGAAAACACTGCCTTTTTATTTATATGTTCTATTGTTAAGAACTCAATGTGGGACTCCAGTTGTGTTTCATGAAATCAAAAAGTTAGGTTTTTATAGGACATTCTCTTTTGTTTGGGGGGGTTCATTGTGTTTGATTTGAGAGGAAATGTTTATGTAAAGCTATAAGCAGCGATTTGTGATTCTGAAATGCCATTAATTTATTTTTTTCTCTTTCAACTCCGAAAGAGAGGTAAGAAAGAAAAGGGGAAGGAAAAATTGACTAAAAATACCATTCCTTAAGGGGGAAAAAAATTAAGTGTGGACAGATTTTTGAAATGTACTTTAAAATGTTTCCTTTGCTGTAGTATCTGAGAGGACATTTTATGGTACCGGTCATGAATCTTTGTTTAAATTTCAGTATTATATAGTTGTACATTTGCCTTGATAATAGAAATTTTTGTTCTCGCTTGTTTTTATATATATAAAAATATATATATTTAAATGATTTTAATGATCTAAAAAAAAAAAAAATCAGGATTATAGACCTGTAAGAACAGGTTCTAAGCTAAAAAAAACCCTTACAAAACATGAATACTGTCCCCCACCAAAAAGAAGTGTGTTTGCCAAACTTCTAAGAGAGCAAGCCCATAATTATGGAATATATACCAAACCCATAACTGTGGAGTTGATACACAAAGGAGACTTAATTTTACTTTGAATATCTTTACTGTTTTTTGTTTTCGTGTTTGCATTTGAGTAACTGTTTAAGAAATAAATGCCAATACAAACTTGTAAACCACATCCTTATTTTAAGGATGGCCTGCCTGTTGTGAAGAAGGCGTGTCTATTAATGCAGACAACCTGAGTGAGATTACAAAGCGTTGTAACACTGCCACTGCCGAGTGCTCGCCCGCCGCCGGCTCCTCTGGCAGCGCGGCATGTAAAATATGGTATAAGCCTGTGGCAGATTTAATGTTTGTAAATATGTGGTTTTTTTAAAAAAAGGTGGATTTTGTTTCAAAAATCTAAATGAGCAAGTCTTAAATATATCAGAAATATAGCACCTTATAGAGGTGTTGGAATATCACTCACTCGGGTGCAAGGGCAAGCAGACACCCTAAGACTAGATACGTGTATGGGGCAGGCAAATAGAGAGCAGTTAATCAAGAAAACCTAAGAAAAGGGTTTCTTTTCCTCATTGCTTTTTATTAGAACACCAAATAAAATGGATATTTCTCAAGGCCCAGCGCCTTGCTGAGCACTCAATTAACATTTCAGACCGTTGTTATTGTGACATGCCTAATACGAGTGATAAAAACATCACGTGGTGTTGAATCTTCCTATGTTTTATAAACTAGAGTGTAGTTTAAGAAAAGATATCTTCTGTAATAAAGCTATCTACATGCAAAGTTGTAGTTTGCAAAAATGATGTATTTTTTTTGGTTAACTGATTTGCAATAAATGATGCTTCTGGGCATCTAGATTTTACTAAAACTGGTACGTAGTGTTTTTGTTACGGATCGTTTGAAATCTGGGCTAGATCCCCACTGTCCTTCAATACTGCAGGGCTGCCTCGCCACAAAGCACCGGCACTTTCCTGACGTCTTGTTCTCTGTGCTAAAGCTCGGAGCAGGGCTTTGGACAATGAAACTTTCTCCTGAACTTGTGCAAAACTCTCACTGACTCGAGACGTCTGTTCTGATGAAGGCCGGAGGGGCTGTGCGAGGCGGTCAGCCAGGCTGGGCTCTGCCCAGGTCGCCCTGTCCCTGTGCTGGGGATGCTCCCATGTCCTCTCAGGCCTCTGCCATAAGGTCGGGATCTAAAAGGGGAAGCACTGAAAAGTTGTTTTAGAGAATGTCACTCACAAATGTGCAAAGTACCGTATTCTCTCACTGTAAAACTTCCCTTTCTGATTATTTTTTTAGGAGCATTCTCTGGCTGATGAGACGGCTGAGGGTAAGAAATGGCCACGTGCTTCTAATTACATAGTGCCTATGGAAACAGAGCCCTCTACGAGTAGGTCTGTAAGAGTGCTGCCTACTTCACAGACGGCGCTGAGCGTCGGGCTGGGCTCTCGGATGCGGTGGCTTGCGCAGATGGGAACTGGAAATCCCCCCAGTGACGATGCCGAGGGGCAGCAGCTCCCGAGGGGAAGTTTCAGTAATGCCACTGCGGGCACCAACACCACACAGAAACGGTTGCTGTCCTTGCTGCACTCCAGATTTTTAAGGTAATTTAATGTAATTCTTTCTCTTCCCTGCAGGGACTCTATAGCCCAAATGCAGCTGCAAAGTTCCCAAATAACTGGATATAAATAGCCGAGTCGTGGACCTCCTCCCAAACCAGATAAGCCTGGTAACTCCTGGAATGCTGGTATTTTCCACTCCGCGGCCGGGGAGGGAGTGGGCATGTGTGAACATGTAGCCGGTACCCAGCCCCAGACGGAACCGGGGCCGCCAGACGTGTGCTGTACAACCGGTCAGAGGCTGGTGCTGCAGCCGTGGCATTTTGCGTGCCACCCAGCTGCAGTGAAAGGCAGAGGTCGGGGAGGCGATGTGCCAGTGCGCACCTCCTGCAGACTCCGTGGAAAGGGGCATTTTAACCAAGGACAAAGCCCTCTTCCCCCTGCAAAACATGGTTCGCCAGTGAGGCTCTCGTTTCCCCAAGGGACACCCTGGAGATGGGCTTCCTGAGACGTGCTCTGCCCCCAAGTCATGTCTCGCTGCATCCCATCTGGGAGACGCTAGATGAAGTGTGTCTGCCTTCACCACGACTCACGCATGTGCTGCCCACGAATCACGTCTGGGAGCACCCAGCCGTGCTCCCACGCAGCCCATCCTTCCAGGCATCTCCCACACGTACGCATCCCAGCGCTCCTGCCCACGGCTGGCTGCGAGCATGGCTCATCCCAGCATCAGCCATTAGGAAGGCTCTCTCCTATCTGGGCTAGCATGCAACACGCCGGTCACCCTCAGTCAAGGTGGGAATTTGGCCTGGAATGGACTAAAAAAAGCCGTTATGAGGATGTGCAAAACCACATGACATGGCAAGAGGCAACTAAAAGCGTGGCTCTTAAGAAGTGGGGGGCTGCAAAGCACGTAATTTTCCATGAGGATGGCTCAGAGGGACAGAGTGAGGAAAGAGGGGGCTAAATA